AGGCGGGGGAGGAGGATGAGGAGGCGGAGGAGGAGGAGGAGGAGAGGAGGAGGAGGAGATGAGAGGAGGAGGAGGAGGGGAGGAGGAGAGAGGAGGAGGAGAGGAGGGGAGGAAGAGGAGGAGTAAGAGGAGGAGAGGAGGAGGAGGTGGAGGAGGAGAGGGGATGAGGAGGAGGGAAGAAGAAGGGGAGGAGGAGGAGGAGGAAGAGGAGGAGGAGAAGGAGGAGGAGGAGGAGGAGGAGGAAGAGGAGGAGGAGGAGGAGGATCGCACGCCACTGAGGGGAAAGGAGGGGAAGAGGGTGGACGGTTCAAGAAACCCAGGGGGCCCATCGGAGTGGACCTTTTTGTCACCCTGGCAGGAAGGCCAACGACTTGCCAGGGGCCAACGACAGGGCCCCCCCTGGGTGTCAACAGACCGCCCAGATCGTGGTCTGGGGTATACGCTCTTGCAGCTTTGGTCCCAACTCGGCCGCTTCGGACTCATTCAGCCCCAAGGCCTGGAAGACATCAGCCAGGCACAACAATGCATCTCGGCCCGCTTCGGGCCTTAAAAAACACTTCCTCTCTGCTGGGCCTGCTTGAGCTCGTCCTTTCCCCAAACCAGCTCCCGCGCCCAGGCCCCAGGAGTTCTCCAAGGGCCCAGCTTGAGAGGCCTGTTGGGGTGCTTCCCTCTGAAGACCGCCCTCGAGTTCTTCCCGCCAGGATCTACAGGGGCATGCTGGGAGCCTTCGCATCCCCTTCTGAGGCCCCGAGGTTCCACAGACATCGTGGCGTATGCCCCACAGGTCGAGAAACAAAAGGATCGGTGGCTGCCCTTCAGTCGTGATCGAGAACTCAAGCAGGGCATGTCCTCCTATGAAAGCTGGGGACTGCTGGGCATCGAACGCTTGTGCCACTAACTCTGGCGCCAGGGGCTATTAGGGATGGCGCGAGGGCGAAGGAGGGTCCTGGGGAGGGCAGGCAGGAGCAACGGCAGACCGACCCCCCCCTCCTCGTCAGATCTCCCCCTAGCCTTAGCAAGCGCCTCCTCCATCTCCAATCCCCCTTCCAGGGAGATCATCGTGAGCCCCTGGGCCCCTACATGAAGGATGAGGAGGAGGAGGAGAAGGAGAAGGAAGAGGGGGAGGAGGAGGAGGAGGAGGAGGAGGAGGAGGAGGAGGAGGAGGAGAGGAGGATG